CCTATTCTTTTGGGGGTCGAGGGGAGAACACCATGATGAAAATGTTGAGTGGCTCTCATATGCATTATTTTTGATTTAACCAAGAGCCCATATTACCTTGTCTTCTCCCTTGTATTAAATGCTTGCAGATTCCAGCTTAGTCCAATGCACGTGCACTATTATTATTATCCACACCGTTCGATCATGCGAGTGAAAGGCAATAATGACGATATATGATGGACTGGTTGAGATGAGAGAAGCTGGTATGAACTCGACCTACCTTGTTTTGTAAATATGATTAGTTCATCATTCCTGATTCAGCCTATTATGAATGAAACATGTTTGCAATGACAATTAGAGATTATAGTTGCCCATGCCATGCTTAATTAGCTAGGAGTTTATAATAGTTTACCTTGCATGCCAACATGCTATTAAAATGGTTGTGATGTGGTATGATAGGGTGGTATCCTCCTTTGAACGATTCGAGTGGCTTGACTTGGCACATGTTCACGCATGTAGTTGAAACAAAATCGACATAGCCTCCACGATATTTATGTTCATGGTGATTTATATCCTACTCATGCTTGCACTCATTGTTGATTAATCTTAATACATGTTCATGACTGTTGTCGCTCTCTAGTTGGTCGCTTCCCAGTCTTTTTCTAGCCTTCACGTGTACTAAGCGGGAATACTGCTTATGCATCCACTTCCATAAAACCCCAAAGTTATTCCATATGAGTCCACCATACCTTCCTATATGCGGTATTTACCTGCCGTTCCAAGTAAATTTGTATGTGCCAAACTCTAAACCTTCAAATGAAATTTTGTTTTGTATGCTCGAATAGATCATGTATCAACTAGGGTTGTCTATATCTTCCATGCTAGGTGGGTTATTCTCACAATGAGTGGACTCCGCTCATCACTCATGAGAAAATGGCTGGTAACCAGGATGCCCAGTCCCATTCTCAAATCAAAATAATTACAAACAAAACTCCCCCCGGATTGTTGTTAGTTGGAGGCACCCGTTGTTTCGGACAAGCCATGGATTGATGTTTGTTGGTGGTGGGGGAGTATAAACTTTACCATTTTATTTGGGAACCAGCTATAATGTGTGTAGCATGGAAGATATCAAGATCTCTTGGTTGTTATGTTGACAATGAAAGTATGCCATTCAAAATATTATTTATCTCTATTTCAAAACTCAAGCTCTGGCACCTCTGCAAATCCCTGCTTCCCTTTGCAAAGAGCCTATCTATTTACTTTTGAGTCATCATCCTCTTATTAAAAAGCACCAGTTGGAGAGCACCGCTGTCATTCGCGTGCATTGCTATTAATTAACATTGAGTATGACTGTGACTGGATCTTTTTTACCATGAATTACAATGTCTAGTCAGTCCTTGATCTTCAGGGGTGCTCTGCATTTATGTTTTAAGGTCTCAGAAAGGGCTAGCGAGATACCATCTTGTTATATCATGTTATGATTGTTTTCAGACAGTGTTGTCATCCGATATTTATTATTATTGCTTGCTAGTTGATTATGCCATTGATATGAGTAAACATGAGACCTAAATGTTATTTTGAATATGGTTAGTTCATAATATTTGCTAAAAACTTGAATGTTGGCTTTACATATTTGCAACAACAAGATCAAACAGAGTTTGTAAAAATTTTTCTTTATCACTTTCAATTTGTCAACTGAATTGCATGAGGACAAGCAAAGGATTAAGCTTGGGGGAGTTGATACGTCTCCAACATATCTACTTTTCCAAACACTTTTGCCCTTGTTTTGGACTCTAACTTGCATGATTTGAATGGAACTAAGCCGGACTGACACTATTTTGAGCAGAATTGCCATGGTGTTATTTTTGTGTAGAAATAAAAGTTCTCGGAATGACTTGAAAATCCACAGAGACACGTTTTGGAATTAATAAAAAATACTGGCGAAAGAATCAGCATCAGGGGGCCCACACCATGTCCACGAGGGTGCAGGGCGCGCCCCCTGCCTTGTGGGCCCCCTGGGACTCCACCGACCTGAACTCCAACTCTATATATTCACGTTCGGGGAGAAAAAATCAGAGAGAAGGATTCATCGCATTTTACGATATGGAGCCGCCGCCAAGCCCTAATCTTCATCGGGAGGGCTGATCTGGAGTCCTTTCGGGGCTCCGGAGAGGGGAATCTGTCGCCATCGTCATCATCAACCTTCCTCCATCACCAATTTCATGATTCTCACCGCCGTGCGTGAGTAATCTCATCGTAGGCTTGCTGGACGGTGATGGGTTGGATGAGATTTACCATGTAATCGAGTTAGTTTTGTTAGGGTTTGATCCCTAGTATCCATTATGTTCTAAGATTGATGTTGCTATGACTTTGCTATGCTTAATGCTTGTTAGTAGGGCCCGAGTGCCATGATTTCAGATCTGAACCTATTATATTTTCATGAATATATGTGAGTTCTTGATCCTATCTTGCAAGTCAATAGTCACCTACTATGTGTTATGATCCGGCAACCCCGAAGTGACAAAAATCGGGACCACTCTCGGTGAGGATAGTAGTTTGAGGAGTTCATGTATTCACTAAGTGCTAATGCTTTGGTCCGGTACTCTATTAAAAGGGGGCATTAATATCCCTTAGTTTCCAATAGGACCCCGCTGCCATGGGAGGGTAGGACAAAAGATGTCATGCAAGTTCTTTTCCATAAGCACATACGACTATATTCGAAATACATGCCTACATTACATTGATGAACTGGAGCTAGTTCTGTGTCACCCTATGTTATAACAGTTACATGAGGAATCGCATCCAACATAATTATCCATCATTGATCCATTGCCTACGAGCTTTTCACATATTGATATTTGCTATGTTACTTTTCTGTTGCCACTGTTACGATTGCTACAAAAACTACTACTATTACTTTTGCCACTATTACCATTACGTCCATACTACTTTGCTACTAAATATTTTGATGCAGATATTTAGTCTTTCAGGTGTGGTTGAATTGACAACTCAACTGCTAATACTTGAGAATATTCTTTGACTTCCCTTGTGTCGAATCAGTAAATTTGGGTTGAATACTCTACCCTTGAAAACTGTTGCGATCCCCTATATTTGTGGGTTATCTGTGCGCTTTGCTGCGCTGTCGGTATTGTTGGGTTTCTTAAAAAAATACTTACTCCGTTTCATCAAAATATAAGGTGTATTATTATTTTTGAAAAGTCAAACATTTTAAGTTTGTTCATATTTTTAGAGAAATATATCAAAATTAATAATATCAAATCGGTATGATTAGATTCATCATGAAATGAATTCCCATACTTTTTTGTTTAATATTCTGGATGCCAATATTTTTTTCTCTGTAGTTTGTCAAAGTTAAAGAAATTTGACTTTCCAAGAAATTAATACCAAAACTGACGGAATATTTTTCTTTATGACAGGGTGATTTGATAGGGTTTTTGTGGTGTGGTTCTATGTTATCCTCTAACCAATGTATATTTATGCGGGGAAATTTCTGCGTGGCTGCATGTTATATATTGGTGCTACAGTATCACATGGTGACATTTTTTTCTAGGTGTTGGGTGGGTGCGTGGGATTGTAATGTTTTTATAGGCCGATTCCTGCTACTTGATTTCAAAAATCATTGGTGAGGTCAAAATCTTAACCAAATCCGAAATTGAATATCTCAATTGAATGAATGGGAACATAGGGAATTAAAAGAATTGAATGGGAGAGCCCTTGAGAAATTGTTGACCCAATTCTGAATTGAAGATCTCAATTAATTATGAGGTCTTAAAAATTAGGAATTATAGTGTATACTATTAAAGAATTGAATGATATTCTTTGAGAATTGTTGACCAGATCAAAATCGGGTGACCCAATCCCAATTAAAGACCTCAATTGAATGTGGATTCTTTAAAACTAGAAAGCATAGTGTCATAAGGATTGGATTTCTTTTGTGATGATGTTCAGAAGTGAGATGACCTTGCAGCATGACACTTGGTAAGGATAGCTAGTTCTAACCAGCCATGTGTCATTTCTTGCATCTGTTGTCAAAATCAACTGTACACTCCGTGCCCACGGACTCTATACCATGCACACGGGAACTTTAGCCCATGCGCACGGGGGAGCAGTTCCCACTCACACCCATTACCTCCACATCCTTGGTGTCTCACGCCACCGTCATCGTCGCCTCTACTACTTCTCTATCAATCCCGTGCCTTGGAGGTCTCTTCCTCGGCTCAGTTGCTCGAGCATGGTTTCCTCCTTTGGTATGCGTCGATCTGATCCGATTCTCCTTGTGAAATTCTTTAGTTTTTCCATCATATTCTCGATTAAGGTATGCCAACGAATAGATGATGTTTTCTATCCGTAGAGTCTGTGTAGAGTTGCATAGAATCACCTCTGTTTGAACCACACGTTGATCTCTTCTTGCATATGGTGGTTTTTGCAAGTTTTGTGTATTGTGGTGTTTATTTATTTATTTTGGGATGTGGTGGTTTTATGCCTTTCACTTCGCACACGTCTATATGCTACGAAGTGAGCCAATGGCTGAATGGTTATTACAAAAAATTGGAATAAAAATTCTCAGTCTCAGCAATTAGTACCAAAATTCACGTTCTCGTGGAAACAGGAGAGGTACCTAATCTACCAGCCACCTGCTTCAAGATAATTATGGCCAAAGACTGGGAACCAGTTGAAGGATCCACATAGTTTCAAATAGCCGGCTATAGCTCCGCTAACGGCTGCCAGTACCTTGCCGCTTGAGAAAGTATGAACCGTCGAGCTCTATGTACTCATTTAGCATTGGCATGCACTAATTCATGCATCATATTCGATCAATAGTAGTATTACCCATGCATGCAAGTACATTTCTCTCGAGTAAAGGTGGTGTCATCCTTTGCGTTGTGCTGATCAGTTCTTAGTCCCCTGCTTAATTGCTCAAGGCTTGTTGCAGCAGGTGCATTTGTCCTGCTCGTGCTTCATGGCCTGCAGATCGAGACGGTGAGACGACCAAGCTCTCGTTAACGTTCCATGATCACTGGTAGTGCGATTAACAAAACATATTGACGGATGTAGCCTAGCCAGCGCCTAGCACGTCGACGACATACCTGCAGCTGGCTCTGGAGGCCCTTGATGTGCTCCACCGCGAGGTCCAACATGTCCGAGGTGCTCGTTTGCTGTTTCATCCACAAAAGCTATCAGCACGGTCGCTTCCGCTGCACGTAGTGTGTAATATGCGTGCGCGTGGTACGTACCTTGTCCATGTTGGGCACTAGGTCCTGCAGCTTCCTGAGCTTGTCGCTGATCCTCGTCCTCCGCTCCCTCTCGGCAATGCTCCTTGGGTGCGTCGCGCAGCCGCGCTTGGCCCGCACCTTGAACGCCACCTGGTCCTCCTGCTGCTGCGCCTGCATGTACTTGTCCATCCCCGCCAGCTCCAGCGACGACGAGCTCGCCATGCCACTGAACTGCACCCACCACCACGAGCTCCAAGGGATTAGAGATCGCATCCAAAGTTTAAGTGTGAGAGATCGATGAATGATGCTGAACGGCCATGCTGCAATCTGGAGTACGTACCTGAGACTCGTAACCGCCGAGGTCGAGGGTGCCGATGATCTCCCTCGACTCATCCCACGGCCCCACGATGGAGAAGCCCCCGCTACTGCCGCTGGCCGAGAAGGAACGCGACACGGGGTGCTCGCCGCCCGGGTGCGCAGCGGTGCGGACGACGTCGGCGCCCGGGAATAAAGAGGCGCCCTCGGAGATACGCGAGAGGTGGGCAGCGATCTGTGGCCCGCCGGCCGTGAAGCTCAGCTGGGACTTCATCTTCGTGCTGCTGCTGGCGTTACGGTGTGCTTCGCCGCCGCCGCCGCCGCCGCTGCCACCAGCTACTCCGGCGCCTCTCGAGCCATGATATCCTGCTTCATTTGTTCCAAGGAGCGCGCCCAAACAGAAAAACTGTTAGGACTAGTTTGGTTACCAGCGATCCCGGGGGGATCCCCGTCGAAATCCAGGGCTCATAGCCCACTAGGCAAATCAGCCCGTGAAAAATCAGCGCGTCGTTTGGTCGCTCGTAGCTGGGGGACTTTTTGGCCCGATCCCCTGTGTTTCCCCGGGAGATCGATCCACGACCCGAGAGGTCGGGTAGAAAATCCACGCTTCTTCTTCTCTCACGCGATCGACTTGGAGCCTAGTGACCTGGAGCGTTTCCCCCCATCCTCCAGCCACCAAATGATATACTACAGACTAGGGAAATATCCACTATGGTGGAAGGGGATCTCGTCAGGCCCATAAAATCCCCCGACTGGGGTTTGCTACCCTGGTTTTTGGTGCCTTGCTACCAAACTAGCCCTTAGTGATTGCTAAACTTCTTCATCCTCTCTTTTATTTTTTCACACAACCATGCTGCTTAATTATGCGAGTTTTTTTTTATGGCGAGACAGCTAATTTCATCTTGACGAGGAATTATTCTCAAATTAATAACGGGTGTCAGTTCCAAGCTTTTAATTTGCAGATAAGCTTGATTCTTTTAGTTATGCAACCGTTGATCCGTCTACAACATGCCATGCCAATACAATGTTATGCTCTTGAATGAGAGAATCTTATTATCCTCATCACAATAAACAATAGAGGGTGTGATTAATGAAGTCATCGGCCACTAAAGGAAAGGGCAGGTCCGTGTGGAGTGCACGCGACGACGCAGGATGCATCTCTGTAGGTTACTATTTTCAGCAAAAGGATGCGTGACGCACGGTGGATCCGTCAGCTGAACCTGGTCCAAAGACAGCGTTGGGGCCACCACACGCCAAGTGGGCGTGCCACGTGGTCCTGCCGTCGACCAAGGCAAGTTGCATTTAGTTTTTGTTAACCTAACCTTGGCTAAGGTTTTGAGCAGATAACGAACAATTACTTAACGTGCATTAGACGGTGCAACTGGCCATTGAAAAGATATACTGTGTGCAAATGGGGCATGTGGGCCCAGCCTAAGGCATTGACCCTTCACTAAAGTCTTGTTGTCGACCAAGGCTTTTGGCGAAATTTTAAGCCATATGCTACATATAGTATTATTATTATTTAGGCAAGCAAACGGAGTCGAGAAGGTACAACAATTTAAGTAGAGAGCAAGTGGCCAAAAGAAAAAGTAATCAAGTGCAACTAGGATTATAGAATCCGTACAAGCTAGAGACACAGGAATATAAAAGTACATGGAAAATTATAAATGCGAGTTGTTTGAAGAAAACCAGTGATAACTAGCCCTTTGTTTTGCGTCCCTTCTAGACAGTTTTGAGAGAGAGAGAGAGAGACGCTCAGACGCGTCAGCCTTTCTTGGGAACGACTCAAACTCATCGTAGCCCTACTTCCCCTTCTCTTTCTTACAAACTAAGCAGATTGCTGGTAGGTTTCAACCTCTGTTTCTAAGAAAAAAAAAGCTAAGCCATGGATCCCATACCATCTGATAATTACTTCAACAGAACAAGGACGCCACCATACAATCTTCACCACTTCAATAAGACCCCATCTCTTTCGCATGATGATCCATATGCACAATGTCGACAAGATCCAGAGCTCTCCGGCGATGCCCCTAAGGAGAAAACGAAGAGGCGCCACCACTCCCTATATGTCATGCCAGGCGAGGGTTTTCACAGGGAGCCTTAAGAGGGGAGAAAACGTCGCCACAACCCCTTGCCCTGCTAAAGGGGGTAAGCGACATCCATTGGTGTCATCGTCGTAGGTACTGACACACATCGGTTTGAGCTTTTGCTCGGTGTCACCTCCGTCTTGCAGTGATAGTTCTTTGGTTACAGCCACCATGCCGAGATCGGGAGACTAGACTGGTACAACGGTGATGACGAGACTAACACTAAGACCCTCCTCCGCAGCTCACCTCGTTGTCCTCACGGTCAAGACGAACAACCAACGCCACCATCACGTAGCCCCCCTGAGAGAACCTTGCCTGTCTGCCTTCCATGCCCACCGCCCCAATGATCGAACCCTAGGAAAGAAGCACGACAGAGGAGGGGGGGGGGGACTCACCTTCACCGCGCCGTCGGGTCGAAGATAGCCAAGATGAGAATTTTTGTCATGCATGGTGAGACCAACCACTGAAGGGTGGCACCCAACCACTAGACATCGCCTTCAACAAGATAACGACACAATTTCGTCGCTACTTCCCAACCAACAAAGACTAGAACATGAGTTTTCACCCTGGATATGAAGCGGCGTTTCAGTCAAAGACTTGATGGAGGATCTTGCGAAAGTCACGCCAGCTAGTACTTCGAGCCAGGCCGAAGTGCCGCTAGCGGAATTAGATCGTAAGGGAATTTCTATCTACACGGGGACTATAATATCATATTGGGGAGGGAGATCGGAATTAGCAATTAATAAAAAAGAAAGGATATGAGCTCGCATGAGTAGAAACAAAAGATATCTATTCTAGATCTATCATCAGCTATCGGTTTGAATCTAAGATAAATTCTGGATAATGTTTCCTACCTTGATATTCTCTTGTCCTTCGCGGATGCTAAGGAGAAGAAGAGGATTGAGTCAAAAGAAAAAACTATTTTAGAGTTTTATCAACAATTTGCTTGTGTGCGTGGGAACCTGGCATTTTCGGAGTCCTTATACGAGTAATTATAAAAGAAAATTTGGCAAGTGAGATGTTATCCCACCTAAGATCATCACCACGATTAACGGGTGGTTTTCCATGTTGCAGCGCGAAGCTGGCCACTGCTACACCACACCACACCACACCATCGTGAACCGACCGGCAACATCCACAATGCGCTCCTGGGTCATTACCCTCACGCCCTCCATGTGAACAGAATGCGGG